GGAACGGCTTCTTCTTGAAAGTCTTAGCCAGAAACTTTCCCCACTGTCACCAGTGCCACAAGCGAGTCGTTTGGGTTTCGGACAGCACCACTGGTCCAAGAGGCTTTCTGGCGTCCCTCCCCCTGCCCTCGGCCCTGCCCCACCGCCCCCTCTCCAGGCTGCCCCTCCCTTTCCCCTGAGACGCCCTTCGGGGAAGGGCTGCGCTCGGCCCTGCCGTCGGGCGGCTTCTCAGGACTACTGCTGCAGCCTGCTGCCCTGTGGACCCGGTCTGCGCCCTCCGCTCTGCCAGGCGGGCTGGAGACTCCTGCGGGCAGGTGCCCCGACGCCGGGCGGGGCGGGTGGTTCCTGGCCGGGGAGGGGGGGGGGTGGCTCTCTGGGGGACGAGAGCTGATCAATAAAAGAAGCCGGTCGGAGGCGCCAGTTTCCCGTCCTTCCTGACCCATCTCCCCTCCTATCAGCCCATTTCCAAGTGTCCCCAAAAGTTATGCTCCAGAATCCCAGCACGAGGATCTCCGAAGTTATTTTAGCACGTCCCATAAAACCCTGGATCAGAAAGGCTTGTTTACGGCTCTCAGTTGTAAAGCGTAGTTTACATCTTTACACGTACACATTACACACACAGAAACACTATGCACACTACATTCTGCAAACACAAATACCACACACTGCACACACCACAAACACATTTTACACCGCACACACATACACTCGTTACACAAGTTTCGCTTATACTACGCGCTACAGACACACCACACACCACACTGCACACACATACACATCGTTTTTATTAGCAGAGGAGAGGGTTCATATCAGTTTGTTGAAGGGAGTGAGGAGGAAGTGGGTGAGTACTAATATATATACTTAGACCCACAAATGTCAATTTATTCCGAAGTTAGAAACTAGTTGATAAGTGAAACCTCTTGTCAGAATTTGTGGCTTTTTTTTTTAATAAAATTGGATTGATTTTTCACAACACCTTTTGAAACTTACACCCCTGTCTAACAGGCAAACTTTTGATCACAGCAGTCAAGACAGGAAGGGATGACCTTTTTTACATGTAGAAAGAAATTCTTGGAGAAACTTTGCAGAATCCTTCCTCCCGTGAGTGAGGCTAAGGAAGAGTCAGTATAACTATGTTGTCTTTGCCTCTCTCCTTTCAAGATGCTGTGCTCTGCCTGATTTAATTCTGAGGAGTGATGTGACAGTGCTGTCAGAACACCCTCCTCTCCACCCCTTGCCCCCAAGAGTCACAGTCCAGCCCCCTTCCATTTGAATTTAGTTGGAAAACAGATTCGAAGTTTCAGATCAAGTCCAAAAACATTGTGGAATCTGTTGGTGAAAGAGCAGTGGTTAATAAAAGAAAATCCACCTGTTTGACCCATGCTCAAAAAATGGTACTTAAAAAATACATGAACATTTATTTTAATTTTATTTAAATATTTTTCTGAGTATCCGCACTGTGTTGATAGCTTTCTAAATAAAACTTCTGCTACTGTGAATATGAATTTTGGATGTGTGGGATGTGTGTGTAAAGTGTGCACAGTCATGAAAGGGGGTACTCAAATGGTTGCAATGACCAGTAATGAATGAAGAAATTAAAGGGTAGAGCTAAGTTCCTAGAGCATTTCTCTAGGTTAGTAATTTCTACAGCTTTACTGTATCTCGCAGTTACTTTCTGTTTATACTTATTGAATTTAAAATATTTCAAATAGTTTAAAAGATAAATTTGAGACACATATTAAAGGGAAAAAAATGAACATTTAGAATTCTTCCCTGAATTATCTTTGTGTACCCTTTCAAGGGGACAATGGGCAAAGATGAGCAGAGACGGCACTTGAAATCATTCCCAGTGATGGTCTTCTAAGGAGTTGAAAATTTCTAATACTGTTTCGGGAATAAGTAAAGGGAACGTAATTGACTTCGAAATTCAGGTTGCAAACTTAGATCGTAGTTGCTGATCTTTAGTGAGCTGAAAAATTACTAAAGGGTGACTAGCAGCTTTCTCCTCAGTTCTGCCTGAAGCCTACACGGTATTGCAGCAGCAAATGACTTTTTCTAGGCTCCGTCTTGGGAACCTGTATTCTCTGCCCTACCATGAGAGGTTTTGGTGACATCTTGACCTAAAAGTGTGCGAATATTGATTGGTGTTTACTTCAATGACAACCGCTTATGTTTCTTGTGTATTTACACCACATTTGTGGAATGTGAATGTTTCCCTTGAGTAGTAGTTGCCAGCTAAGCAAGAGAACTGTGAGATTGACCAGGGTCAACTTAATCAAAAGATCATGCCTAGCCTCTGCTCCACCTCCCACTTTCCTGAATTGGGACTTGGGATGCTGGTAGAAGATACTATGAATTTGGGGGTTGGCACGAGATTTTCTTTTTCATCTGCAACCAATATAGTACCAGGTGCTCATCGAAAATACATATTGAATTTGTTGAATTACGCTTTTTATGCAACTAGGATAAACAGTTAAAAGTAAACCTCCCGGACAACTTGTTTTTGTTCTGTAGAGTAAGGTTTGTTTTATTTTAAATTTTTGCTGACTTCGTCTGGTAGGATGAATGCCAAAATTAAAGAATGTGGGTGTTCTCAGGAGATCTGGTCATCTACTTTGCCTCCTTTCTGAAATTTGTCACTTCCTGCATAATGCAGTAAAAGGATTTTCTGCTGGGCAGTGCTTTCCTTCGTCTCACAAAGAGATTATTTAAAAACCGGCCCTGGGAACTTTGTTGGCATCTCTACTAGGAAGAAAGAGCAACACAGGGCTGCAGTTTCTGGGGGTTCACTGGGCATAGCCCATAAATACTGGGCATTCTCTTCTTTTCTCATTTTTTCCCCCACAGGGGAGAAAAAGAAATAGTTTGAAACATGACATTCATGCTCAAAACAGCAACAAAGACCCATGATGCAGGAACAACAGAAGGGAGGGAGAAAATAAGAGGCTATTGATACAGCTTGTTTTCCTTTGAACAAGAAGACAGGTGCAGGGAGAATTCTGCAGCCTGGGGACTTGTGATTCATTTACTTCCACTAATTGTGCTGAAGGTAGTTAGCAAAAGTGAACAGGCACACTGTAGCTTTAAAAAGTCAGCCATGAACCAGAAGGCAGTTGGTGCAGCTTGTGTGTGATTCCTAACGTCATGTTGGCTGAGAGCCAGCCTGGTTTTATTTCACTGTGTCAAATTGTACCTCCTTATTGAATTCCTTTGCCAGCCTACTTTGTGAAAGAAAACATTGGGGTTTCTTTGGCTGTTCTTGATAAGCCTATAAAAAATGACATGTTTTAGTTGCTTCTAGGTAGGTTTTCTTTTTACTCTTCCACAAAAAAAGAAAATAGTAATAATAATAATTAGACAATGTAGTGTGGTGTTTGCAGAGTATCATTGTGAGTGTTTTGTTTTGTTTTGTTCTGAGATGCTTAGAAAATGGTGAATGTGTAACAGTTTCCAACTGAAGTGAAATCATTCTTTGGCAGGGAGAGGCAGCCCTATCTTCTGGCTCCTCTGTAATGGTGTGTGGATGTGTGTTAATATCTATAGGTATACTACATGCTGGATTTCTCTGTGAATGATCTAAGTGGCTTAGCAACTGGAAGTTTGTGTGTGTGTGTATGTGTGCGTGCGTGTGTGTATCAGCAGTGAAGATTATCCCACACTTACAGTATTATTTGTTGATCATCTACTTCTCTAACAGTGATAAAATCTTGTGAATATACTAGATGATGCACTTGTGTCAGAGTAATCCCTGGAGAAGGAGTGCCGAAGTAGAAAGTGATTTGAGAGGAAATGTATTTAATTTATGGCTTCAGCTGCAGGAGAACAAGCACGTTTCAGAACTAGTTTTTTTTTTTTTAAGCAGTTTTGTTCATCGCTTTTCATCTTGCTAATTGCATATTAATTGTGGAGGGATTTTATTTTTTTCAGTCCTCGTCCTAGTAAACAAAAAGACAGAGTGATGGATGCTACTATATTTACTTGAATGTTTTGATGATTTTTACATAAATCTAACGTGCTGCCCACCCTCTCTTACACACACACACACACACACCCAGCACCACCGTTCTGTGCTAAGGGCTACCTGACATTTTTGTGAGCTTCCAGCTTTACCACAGCATGGCCATCTCACAGACAGGTTTTTGAGATTTTCACTGAGAATATGTGAGGTGGGGGAGTACTTGCTGACAAAAGCTCTAAGTCCTCTTTTGCATGGCAATGAAAAAATATAGGAGCAGTGGGAGTGGACAAAAAAAAAAACAACAAATGCAGAAAAGGGAAAAAAGAAATCACCGCGCGTGGTGGGAAGGGGAGGAAAAGGGGGATTGTTTTTCTCGACTTTGACTCGTTTATGAGTTGCAGTGTCTTAAGTGAGAGCATGGCACCCGGA